GTATGAATTAACCAAAATAGGGCAAAATTAAAGACACAGTTTTTTCCAGTTTTCCACTTAGGGTCTAATCAAAAAGTCTTCTCAGCATTTTTTTTTTTTTGAAAAAGGCATACCTCATTTTTTGTGCTTCACTTTATTGCACTTTGCAGATTTATGTTTTTTAAGAAATTGAAGTTTTGCGGCCACCCTGTGTTCAGCAGGTCTACTGGTACCATGTTTCCACCAGCACGTGCTCACTTTGTGTCTTGGTGTCACGTTCTGATAATTCTCACTATATTTCAATTTTTAAAATTATTATTATGATTTCTGATATAGTGATCTGTGATCAGAGATATTTGATGTCACCATTGCAATTTAAGGAAGAGGAACGCTCACCACCAACTTGCCCATAAAAGACTGCAAACTCAAAAGATAAATGTTTTTTTCTGTTCTGACTGCTCTACTCACAGACTCTTCCCCATTTCACTTCTCTCCCTTTCCTAGGTCTCCTATTCCCTGAGACTAAACAATATTGAAGTTAGGCCAGTGAACACCCCTACAATGGCCTGTAAGTGTTCAAGTGAAAGGAAGAGTGGCCCTTCTCTCACTTTAAATCAAAAGCTAGGTTGACAAAGCTCAGTTAGAAAGGCACATCGGAAGCTAAGACAGGCCAACTCTACAACACTTGTAACAAACTGCTTGTGAGTGCAAAGGAAAATTTATTGGAAGAATTTCAATGTGCTATTCTAGTGAACACACAAATGAAATGGAAATGAAACAGGCTTGTTGCTGACACGGAGAAAGTCAATGATTTAGATAGAAGATCAAACTAGCCAAAAACATGCCTCTAAGCCAAAGCCAAATCCAGAGCAATGTCTTAACTTTCTTCAATTCTATGCAAGCTCAGAGAAGTGAGGAAGCTGTAGAGGAAAATTTGAAACTAGTAGAGATTGTTACAGGCGACTTAAAAATAGAAGGTGTCCTCATAGCATAAAAGTGCAAGGTGAACCAGCAATTGAGTTGCTGATGCAGAAAGTTATCTGGAAGATCTATCTAAGATAATTGATGGAGATAGCTACACTAAATAACAGATTTCCAGTGTACACAAAACAGTCTTCTGTTGGAAGAAAATGGCACATAGGACTTTCATAGCTAGAGATTAGAAGTTAGTTCCTGGCTTCAAAGGATAGGCTGCCTCTCTTGTTAGGGATTAATGATTTTAAGGTGATGTCAGTGGTCATTTATTAGTCCAAAAATCCTAGGATCATTAAGAATTATGCTAAATCTACTGTGCCTGAGCTCTGAAAATGGAAGAACAAAGACTGGATGATAGCATATCTATTTACAGTATGGTTTATTGAATATATAAAGCCCACTCTAGAGACTTATTGCTTAGAAAAATAGATTCCTTTCAAAATATTACTGCTCACCCACAATGCTCCTGGTCACACAACAGCTCTGTAATGAAGATATATCAGGAGATTAAGTTGTTATCATGTCTGCTGACACAATGTACATTCTGCAGCCTGTGGATAAAAATAATAAAAGCTATTCATGACAAACCTAAATCCAATGTCATACTGAATGGGCAAAAACTTGAAGCATTCCCTTTGAAATCTGGTATTAGACAAGGATGCCCTCTGTCACCACTCCTATTCATTATAGTATTGGAAGTTCTAGCCAGAGCAATTAGGCAAGAAAAAAACATAAAGGGTATTTAATTAGGAAAAGAGGAAGTCAAATTGCCTCTATTTGCAGATGACATGATGGTGTATTTAGAAGGCCCTATCATCTCAGGCCAAAATCTCCTTAAACTGATAAGCAACTTCAGCAAAGTCTCAGGATACAAAATCAATGTGCAGAAATCATAAGCATTTCTATACACCAATAACAGACTAACAGCCAAATCATGAGCGAAATCCCATTCACAATTACTAGAAAGAGAATAAAATACCTAGGAATACAACTAACAAAGGATGTAAAGGACCTCTTCAAGGAGAACTACAAACCACTGCTCAAGGAAATAAGAGAGGACACAAACAAAGGGAGAAACATTCCATGCTCATGATTAGGTAGAATCAATAACATAAAAATGGCCATATTGCCCAAAAGAATTTATAGATTCAATGCTATCCCCATCAAGCTACCAATGACCTTCTTCACAGAACTGGAAAAGACCACCTTAAACTTCATATGGAACCAAAAGAGAGCCCACATAACAAAGACAATCCTAAGCAAGAAGAACAAAGCCAGAGGCATCATGCTATCTGATTGCAAACTGTATTACAAAGCAACAGTAATCAAAACAGCATGGTACTGGTACCAAAACAGAGATATATACAAATGGAACAGAACAGAAGCCTTGGAGACAGTGCTGCACATCTACAACCATCTGATCTTTGACAAACCTGACAAAAACAAGCAATGGGGAAAGAATTCCCTGATTAATAAATGGTGTTGGGAAAACTGGCTAGCAGTGTGCAGAAGGCAGAAACTGGACCCCTTCCTGACACTTTACACTAAAATTAACTCCAGATGGATTCAAGACTTAAACATAAGACCTAACACCATAAAAACCCTACAAGAAATCCTAGGCAAAACCATTCAGGACATAGGCATAGGCAAGGGCTTCATGATTAAAACACCGAAAGCATTGGCAACAAAAGCCAAAATAGACAGATGGGACCTAATTAAACTCCAGAGCTTCTGTAAGCAAAAGAAACAATCATTAGAGTGAATTGGCAACCAACAGAATAGGAAAAAATTTTTGCAAACTACCCATCTGACAAAGGGCTAATATCCAGAATCTACAAAGAACTAAAACAGATTCACAAGAAAAAAACAAACAAACCCATCCAAAAGTGGGAGAAGGATATGAATGTACACTTTTCAAAAGAAGACATATATGAGCCCAACAAACATATGAAAAAATGCTCATCATCACTGATCATTAGAGAAATGCAAATCAAAACCACACTGAGATACCATCTCACACCAGTTAGAATGGCGATCATTAAAAAATCTGGAGACAACAGATGCTAGAGAGGATGTGGAGAAATATGAACACTTTTACACTGTTGGTGGGAGTATAAAGTAGTTCAACCATTGTGGAAAATAGTGTGGCGATTCCTTAAGGACCTAGAAATAGAAATTCCATTTGACCTAGCAATCCTATTACTGGGTATATATCCCAAAAGATTATAAATCATTCTATTATAAAGACACATGCACACATGTTCATAATGGCACTGTTTACAATAGCAAAGACCTGGAACCAACCCAAATGCCCATCAACAATAAACTGGGCAAGGAAAATGTGGCACATATATGCCATGGAATACTACGCAGCCATAGAAAAGGATGAGTTCCTGTCCTTTGTAAGGACATGGATGAATCTGGAAGCCATCATTCTCAGCAAACTGACACAAGAACAGAAAGCCAAACACCACATGTTCCTCACTCATAGGAGGGTGTTGAACAATGAGAACATGTGGACACAGGGAGGGGATCATCACACACTGTGATCTGTTGCAGGGGTCAGACTGTCTCAGCAGTGGGGGACGCCCTTCCCCACTCTAAGCTGGACTGTCCTGGGTCCAGCTACACTTGCTGCAAAACTCTCAATCCAGAGTGTTTCAGATTGCTTGTTTTGTGGGGGTGGTACCCGCCGACCCAGATCACCTGGCTCCCTATCTCAGCCCACTTCCTTTCAGTTGAATGGGCCTCTCTGCCTCCCAGCCTTTCCAGGTGCCAGTCGAAATGGCCGCCCAGACTTGTGTGAGTTTCTGTGCACCAACCTGGCACTGGCTGAAACCCACACACTGAAAACTTGTAGTACTCTTTGGCCCAGAATCTCCTGGTCTGTGGGCAGTGAAAACTTGTTTGGAAACGAGGTGAACACTCACTCTCTGCACTGTTCTCACTAGGAGCTGCACTCCGAAAATGTTCCTATTCGGCCATCTTGGACCCTCCGCAGAAATCATTTTCAATTAATGTAATAACAGTTATAATTGGGTTAAAATTTATAATCTATTAGTCCTTTGTTCTTTCATTCTTCCATCTTTTCAATGTATAGCTCATCTTTATTATTCCATTTCTGCCCTGCACTACCTTTTAAATTATACTGTCTTTTAATACTGAGGCTGGTCTTGAACTCCTGACCTCAGGTGATTCACTCACCTTGGCCTCTCAAAGTGCTGGGATTATGTACTGAGCCACCGCACCTGGCCCAGAGCTATGATTTACTTGTCTTCAAGTTTCTAGCTCTATCATCTGTTGTTTCCAGGCAGCTCTGAATTGTTTCCTTCAGTCTATAGTTTCACTTCTCTGGCAGTTTTTAAAGTTAATTCTGGACATAGTGTATGATATGAACATCTAAGTTATGTGGTCTGTCTCTAAAATATGTGAACTTTTGTTCTAGAAAACTGTCAGATCATTAGAGGTTACATTAATCTTGTCAGAGCTTGATTTTAGGTTTGTTAGACTAGGTTTCTTTAGACCTTCCTTTACTCTTACATCTTATCCCTTATTTTTAGGGCAACATCCTTAAAACACAGTTTATGTGGTATCTTAACTGAGATCCTGGGTCTCTCCACTCTGGCTAAGTATGCCCTTTCAGATACTTGATTAGCTTTCTGGTCTCTCCACAGATATTATGCCAAAGCCTTCTCAGAATTTTGCCTTGCTCAAGTGCAGTTTAGCAGTCAGCCAAAGATCCAAGGAGAAATCTCAGCAACTATTTTAGAGTTTTTCCTATGTAATCTTCCTCTAAGCTACCTTGCCTCCTAAATCACACTTAATCTGGGTAGCCCCACACTGTAATTTCTACTTTCCCAACTCATTTAGACCAGTACCCTTAGACTCTATATTCCTGTATTACATTTTTTAAATGCCACCAGGGAGAAAGCTGGGTTAAAATTGGGGATCCCTTTGCTGCTTCCCTTCTCTTAATAATTCCAGTCATAAATCTGTTTCTATCCAATGCCTTCAAATCATCATCATTGCAGGTTAAGTGTGGTACCATTTATTCTCTTGTGAAAGTCTTCTGGATATTTTATTTATCTTTTACTTCAGTAATCTTCCTTTTGTATCTAAATTGCTATAAAATTACTGAGTTATCAACTTCAGATTTTGTATTTTCCTATTCTGGAACATGCATTTGTTGCTTTTTATAAATTCCAGCTCAGCTAATATTTTCTAGCACAACATCTATTTTATTGCTCTTTCATCCATCTTTTATAGCACATCAGTCATAATAATTTTAAAGTCTTCCTCTCCCCCCTTCTTCTTCTATATTATTGAAATATTGTATAGAATTAGCATTATTTTTTCATTAAATATTTTCCAGTGAAACTATCTGAGCTTGGTGCTTTTTTTTGTATGGAATATTTAAAACTACATGTTCAGTTCCTCTAATAAGAATGGAATAACTCTTACTTTATCTTGTGTGAATATTGATAGTTTGTGATTTTAAGAGGATTTCTATCCACTTAAATTTGTTAAGATTTGTTTATGCAGTCTATCTTTGTGAATGTCCTATGCACATTTGAAAAGAATGCATTTTCTGCTATTGCTGGTAGAATGTTTAGTATGTGTCAAATAGATGTTGTTGGTTGATTGTGTTCGTCAGATCATCTATAACCATACTGAATTTCTGCCTACTTGTTTTATCAATATTCAGAAAAGTGTGCTGAAATATTCAACCACAACTGTAGTTTGTCTAGTTATCTTTTCAGATCAGTCATTTACACTTGCATGCACACTGAAGCTTTGTTTTTAGGTAAATATTCATTTATATTGTTATATTCTCTTGAACAATGGGCCCCGTTATCCTTAAGTAATGTCTCTATCTTTCCTTGATAATGTTTCTTATTCTGCAGTCTACTTTGTCTAAAATTAATATAGCTATTCCAGGTTTCTTTTCATTCGTTTCTGTGGGATATCTTTCAATCCTTCTCCATCTTTGTTTTTTCCAGCAACCTAAACTACTTATATTTAAATCAGGTTTTTGTAGAGAATGTCTAGTTAGGTTTGTTTTACTTACTTTTTTTTTAAACTTTGATTTTAGGTTTGGGGCATGTGTACAGGTTTGAAAATATAAACTCGTGTCATGGGGAATTGTTGTACAGATTATTTCATCCACCAGGTGCTAAGCCTAGTACTCATTAGTCATTTTTTCTGATCTTCTCCCTTCTCCCACCCTCTGCCCTCCACCCTCAAGAAGAGATGCTGGATATTGTCACATGCACACTGGAAAAGAATGCATTCTGTTATACCCGTGATGTAATGGGATTGCTGGGGCAAATGGCAGTTCTGTTTTTAGCTCTATGAGGAATATCTACAATGCTTTCCACAATGGTAAAACTAATTTATGCACCCAGTAAGAGTGTATAAGTGTTCCTTTTTTTGCTGCAACCTTACCAGCATCTGTTATTTTTTGACTTTTTAATAATAGCCATTCTTACTGCTGTGAGATGGTATCTTATTGTGGTTTTCATTTGCATTTATCTAATGATCAGGAATATTAGGCTTTTTTCTTATACTTGTTGGCTTCATGTATGTCTTCTTTTGAAAAGTGTCTGTTCATATCCTTTGTCCACTTTTTAATGGGGTTGTTTGGTTTTTTCTTGTAAATTTGTTTAAGTTCCTTATAGATGCTGGATATTAGACTTTTGTCAAATGCATAGTTTGCAAATATTTACTCCCATTCTGTAGAGTATCTGTTTACTCTGTTGATAGCTTCTTTTGCTGTGCAGAAGCTCTTTAGTTTAATTAGATCCAATTTGTCAATTTTTGGTTTTGTTGCAATGGCTTTTGTAATATTTGTCATGAAATCTTTGCAAGTTCTTATGTTCAGAATGATAGTGCCCAAGCTGTCTTCCAGATTTTTTAGCATTTTAGGTTTTACATTTAAATTTTTAATCCATCTTGAGTTGATTTTTGTATATGGTGTAAGGAGGGAATCCAGTTTCAATCTTCTGCATATGGCTAGCCAGTTATCCCAGCACCATTTATTGAGTAGAAAGTCCTTTCCCTATTGCTTTTGTCAACTTTGTCAAAGATCAGATGGTTATAAGTGTATAATCTTATTTCTGGACTCTCCATTTTGTTCCATTGGTTTATGTGTCTGGTTTTGTACTTTGCTGTTTTACTGACTGTGGCCCTGTAATATACTTTGAAATCAGGTAATGTGATGCCTCCAGCTTTGTTTTCATTTATTTATTTATTTATTGCTTACAATTTCCTTGGCTACTCAAGGTCGTTTTTGGTTCCCTATCACTTTTAAAATATTTTTCTCTAGCTTTGTAAAAATGTCATTGGTGCTTTCATAGGAATAGTGTTGCATCTATAAATTTCCTTGGACAGTATGGACATTTATGATATCGATTCTTTCTACTCATAAGCATGGAATGTTTTCCCATTTCTTTGGGTCATCTATGATTTCTTTAAGCAGTGTTTTGTAATTCTTATTGTAGACATCTTTCACTTCCCTAGTTAGATGTATTCCTAAGTATTTTATTCTTTTTTGGCAATTATGAAGGGACTATATTCCTGATTTGGATCTCAGGTTGCTGTTGTTGGTGTATAGGAATGTTAGTGATTTTTAATACATTCATTTAGTATCCTGAAACTTTGCTGAAGTTGTTTATTAGCTGAAGAAGCTTTGGAGCTGAGACTATAGGGTTGTCTAGATATGGAATTATGTCATCTGCAAACAGGTATAGTTTGACTTCCTCTCTTCCTATTTGGATGCCCTTTATTTCTTTCTCTTTCTTGATTGTTCTGGCCGGGACCCCCAACACTATGTTGAATATGAGTGGTGATAGAGAGCATCCTTGTCTTGTGCCATTTTTCAAAGGGAATGCTTCAGGCTTTTGCCCATTTATTATGATGTTGGCTGTGTGTTTGTCATAGATGACTCTTATTGTTTTGAGATATGTTCCTTTAATACCTATTCTATTGAGTGTTTTTAACATGAAGAGATGTTGAATTTTATAGAAAGCCTTTTATGCATCTATTGAGATCATCATGTGGTTTTGGTCTTTGGCTCTGTTTTTGTGATGTATCTTATTTATTGATTTGCACATGTTGCACCAACATTGCATCCCAGGGATAGACACTACTTGATCATGGTGGATTACCTTTTTGACATGCCACTGGATTTGGTTTGTCATTATCTTGTTAAGGAATTTTGCACTAATATTCATCAAGGATATTGGTCTAAAGTTTTCTCTTTTTTATTGTGTCTCTGACAGCTTTTGTTATTAGGATGATGCTGGCTAATCTCCTTAACTGATGAGTTAAGGAGGTGTATCTCTTCCTCAATTTTTTGGAGCAGCTTTATTAAGAATGGAACTAGTTTTTCTTTGTACATCTGGTAGATTGTACCTGTAAATTCATATTATCCTGGGCTTTTTTTGGTTGGTAGGCTATTTATCATTGATTTAATTTCAGAGCCCATTATTGATCAGTTCAGAAATTACATTTTTTTTTTCCTGGTTCAGACTTTGGGAGGGTGTATGTGTCCAAGAATTTATCCATGTCTTAGGTTTTCTAGTTTTTGTATATAGAGTAGTTTCATAGTAGTTTCTGATGGTTATTTGTATTTCTGTGGGGTCAGTGGTAATATCTCTTGTAATTTCTCATTGTGTTTATTTGAATCTCCTCTCTTTTTTTCTTTATTAGTCAAGCCAGTGGCCTATATATCTTATTAATTTTTTCAATAAACCAACTCCTGAATTAATTGATCTTTTGAATGATTTTTCATGTTGCAATTTTCCTCAGTTCAGCTCTCATTTTGGTTATTTATTTACTTATTTAGTCTTCTACTAGCTTTGAGGTTGTTTTCTTCTTGGCTCCCTAGTTATTTTAGTTGTGATGTTAGGTTGTTAATTTGAGGTTATTCAAATTTTTGATGTGGGTGCCTAATGCTATAAATTTTTCTGCTAACACTGAGTTAACTATGTCCCAGAGATTCTGGTATGTTTTATCTTTGCTCTTATCGGTTTCAAACAACTTCTTGATTTCTGCCTTAATTTCATTATTTACCCCAAAGTCAGTCAGTAGCAGGTGGTTTAATTTCTGTGTGATTGCATGGTTTGGAGTGATTTTTTTAGTCTTGACTTTTATTTTTATTGCATTGTGGTCCAAGAGTGTGATTTGTATTATTTCAGTTTTTGCATTTGCTGAAGATTATTTTATGTCCAATTATGTGGTCTATTTTAAAGTATATGGCATATGGCTATGAGAAGAATGTATATTCTGTTATTTTGTGGTGGTATTTGTATTTCTGTCTATCAGGCCAATCTGATCCAGGTCAGATTGAATATTTTTGTTCAGGTCCTGAATATTTTTGTTAATTTTCTTCCTTGATGATCTGTCTAATACTGTCAGTGTGTTGTTGAAGTCTCCTACTATTACTGTGTGGAATACTAAGTCTCATTGAAGGTCTCTAAGAACTTGCCTTTTGAAACTGGATGCTCCTGTGTTGGGTGCATATATACTTAAGAGAGTTAGGTCTTCCTGTTTAATTGAACCCATTACCATTATGTAATGCCTTTCTTTGTCTTTTTGGATATTTGCTGGTTTAAAGTCTGTTTTGTCTGAAATTGGGATTGCAATCCCTGCTTTTTTCTATTTTCCGTTTGCTTGGTAGATTTTTCTCCATCCCTTTATTTTAAACCTATGGGTATCAATGCATATGAGATGGGTCTTTTAGGTAGCATACCACTGAGTCTTTCTTCTTTATCTAGCTTGCATGGGTCTTCCTTCTTTTTTGCATGGGTCTCTCCAGCTTGCCGTCCTGTGCCTTTTAATTGGGTAATTTAGCTCATCTACAGTTGGTTAGTATTGATATGTGTGGATTTGATCCTGTCATTCTATGTTAGCTGGTTACTATGCAGACTTGCTTTTGTGGTTTCTTTATAGTGTCACTGGTCTGTATATTTAAATGTTTTTGTAATGGCTGGTAACAGTCTTTCCTTTCCATATTTAGTGCTTCTTTCAGGAGCTCTTATGAGACAGGTGTGGTGGAAATGAATTCCTCCAGCATTTGCTTGTGTAGAAAGGATCTAATTTCTCTTTTATTTATAGCTTAGTTTGGCCAGATACAATTTTTTTCCTTAAAATTTCTTTTTAAAAAAAATATTGAATATAGCCCTTCCCATCTCTTCTGGCTTGTGAGATTTCTGCTGAGAAAGTCACGGTTAGTCTGATGGGATTCCCTTTGCAGGTGAATTATCCTTTCTAGCTGCCTTTAACACTTTTTTATTTTAGCCCACCTATATCTTTAATCAACAAAAATTTAGCATTTCTAGTTCATAACAAAAATTTTATAGTTTATAACAAGAATTTTCCAGCTCTAACAATTTTTTAAAATTATGTAATTATTAACAACTAGATTAAATAAGTCCATTTGTAGCTGAAAAATAGAAACTTCAAGACATCTAATTTTTGAAGGTACTCATAGCTTATTGGAGGTAATTCTGTGATTTGAACTCAAATTAAAATGGGAGTTTGTATTGATTTTTTTTTCTGCTCCTGTTTGGTTCATGTCTGAAGATGAATGTAATTTACAAAGATTAGTGAATTCTTAGATGTGATTCCAGCTGTGTCAGTTTCCATTTACCACTAATTGGTAACCAAGTAGTCTACATATTACTTAAACTAGTGAACTAAATGCCACTTTGTCCTTAAGTTATTCTTCTAGTAATAAGAAGAAACAAAACCAACTCAGATTAGAATAACCTTCAGATCCTCTAAGAAATACTTTTTCTTCTATATTTTCTGTCATGTTATCTCCTATTAAAAGAAAAACTACTAATACTCTGAATTTTAAATTA